ACACAAATAGTGTATAGGCAGATAGCACTCATGCTGACTTTATGTATTCGGATATAGGTCATAATATTATTTCATCTTTTCTGCTTTCAAGATGAACACGATTATAAATCCAACTTAGTGATTGGGAAGACTTGACTTAGAGACTTTTGATATGAGCAATTGTTGTAGTGATACTGAAGAGGTCCTGATATCGAGAAGATCAGCTGATTTTCTTGTACACTGGAACACATCCCAAAATTCCACAGAGGGATTAGACATATGGTTATAGGAATATACCTGAGGTAATACTAGCTTTGTAGTTAGGTTAACCATTTGACAACGGTAGAGGACATTGACTTCGGTCTTGTTTTTGAAGGCAAAAACTGTCCTCAAGAACAAGTACTATAGTGGAAACACATGAGGGTAGAGAGAATTATAACCATTGGTCTTGGTTGGTTAGTCATCCATGGTATTATACCTACTTATTAGATTCTTCATGATTTCTAGATACTCGTAATTTCTTTATTGGTTTAATCCCCAATTATGGAGTAGTTTATGACCTAGGGATTCCCTGTACTTAACAGATAAATTGTGGGGGTAGACCGGGCTGCGTTGCATTGATAGTGGGTCCGATACTGGGGTATGCGGGGTAATACGGTCGTGACACACTGATGCACATTATGTAGTGTTTGTGTAACGGGTGGTCAGGCCGGAATGTGGCTGACCACCAATACGTGCACGGCAACGCATTGCTCCCCTCTATGTTACCGTGTTTGGCTCAATGCCATACTCCGCATGGGCCTCACGGCCTGGGGAGCAAGCTGCAGCTGCCTTGCACCCCGCTGTCTTTGAATGACAGGATCGTCCAATATGTTGTGTAAAATACTAGAAGGTATCCAGTTTATTCAATTTATACATTGGGAAATAATAATAGGCATAAGATTGTACTTAGATTGGATAGGGGATACTGTTAGCTTTCCATAGCATTTTGAATCATCCTAAACGATTTAGCAGTAGTGGAGTTATAGCTTATTGAAGTTCCAATACTTAAGGTCGGGCCCTACTATACTCGGGGATGAGATACTATCTATAAGGATACATTCGATATATTGTTATATACATTGTGTACAAGCTCGGACCGCCGCATGCGCTGTGCACACGGTGCCCTCTGATTAACCTGGCGCCACAGCTTTGGACAGTCGGGTGGACTATCCATTTGGTTTCCAAGGCCTTGAAAGAGAGCTAAATGCAAGCTAGTTTGAAGATGGGTTACAACTGTCCAATAAAATCATGTCACCTGAACTTGATTTTTAATTGCAAGTGCAGCAATTGGTGCATGAAATAGTGTACCACTCAGTGCGCATACTCTTGCACCGATTCAGTGGCATATTTGGTGAGGTGATTGTTTCATAAATCTATACATGAATCGGTGCGCCAAATGGTGTGCCAATCGGTGCACTGATTGCAAGGTGGCGGTGAGGCCTTTTTTTCCTAGCGTTGTCATGTTTTTCATCCGCACCAGTCTGCTTGAGCGATCGCGCAGAAGCAAGCTACTAGGATAGCGCGGGCAAGGTGACGTTGGCGCTTGGAGGCCCGTGGGCAAGACACAGGGCGGGGCAGGGCAGCCCAGGCGTTGGCTGCCGCGCCTTGGCTGCCCTGCGATTGACTGCAGATGGACCGCCGATCGACCGGCGCCATAGCAGACGATCGGGGCAGCCAAGTCGGTTGTGGGGATCGGTACCCTCCTGAGCAGAGATGGGTGCAGAGGGCGGCGCCAAAGCATGGGTGTTGTGAATCCAACACGCGCGCTCGCAGCCCCCACGGGTACAGCAATTTGCGCGCGCAATAACTGCAGGTGTGGCGCCTCCCTGGCGGCCACTCATGCCGCTCGCGGCCGCCCCGATTGGTAGCCATGGGCAGCAACAACGGCTGGCCGGAGCTGCTTTCTGGTGACGAGAACGGTGCCACCCTCACAATCGGGTGTGGCACCTACTGGGGGCCTGTTGTTGCCACCCACGGTGTGCGCGATTGGCTGCGGGAGGCACTACAATTGTGACAGGAATGGGCGCCCACGAGCACAAATTTCCGGCACCTCCACCGCACTTCCTAGCCGCTGTGGCTTGCAACAATGGTCGCCGACAAGGTGGCAGAATGCCCACAAAAATGGCAAACCCACACTCCCAAGGCTTTCGCTCCTAGGCGCTCGCTTTCTACACCTCAGGCACCTTGATTGCCGCTGATGGCCACACCTTGGAGAAGACCAACGCAGCCAATGCACCACGTTGTGTCGATCACCCGGCCGGCCAGCTCGCCGCTGCGCTGGATCGGGGAGTGCCAATCGGCAGCAAGCATCTTTCACAATGGCTGATGCACGACCCAGCGATGAGGAACGTTGGGTAGCCATGTTTCAGCGTTCCTACTGTCCCCTTTGTGGCGCAAGGCTTGCTCAACATTTGTAGCAAAGGTGGCCACGCGGGAAGCACTACTATGGCCATAGAATTGGCACCGAAACATTCCAGGCGCCGTCCCTTCTGCGCCTACCAGCATGATGCACAGCCACCCCGATTGGGAGCCGCGGGTGCCGGGAATGGCGGCCAGCAGTCTGCCACTCTTTCGGCTTTGTTCTCACTCACGGTCATGCACTTATGCCATCTGCATTGGTTTAAAAAGGCCGCGCGGTGCTGCGCCACGCCGTTCTCTAGCGTGCCGCCGCGCCTCGCTGTTATACGCTGCGGTTTGAAAAGCCCTATCATTCCTTGCTCCTTGGGCTCTCGCCTGTGCCTCGTGCTTTGCGTCCTTGCAACAGCGGTTTGTCATTGGTTTGAGACAAACCAGTTGGAGGTCGCGGCTTTCGTAACCCTAGGTCGCCCAGCTCCCGCCCCAACGCCCCGCTTTCATCGCTGATGGTGGTAAATCCTCGCTGTAGGCTCAGCAAGAGAGACGCTTAACGTTCGTCAGAATTTTACCTTTCTCGTCCGATTACGCCGCAGCCGGGTTCGTTAGCGCTTGCCGCCCGCCGGTGCGAGCCGAATGCCAGGCCAGGCAGCGGCTCATTACGCGTTGCGGCCGCCCCTGGCGCGTTTCTTTTGCTGAATGGCGCGGGCGCGGGTTTGACTGACGCCGGTATTTTAGCGGGCCACCGGGAGCACCATCGCTAGGGGCTCGCGTGGCCACCCCGGCATTTACGCAACTATAATTCCATCTCGGTGCCCACCGCCCCGCCGCGACTCGCGCAGCGCCGCGGCGCACTATTAGGCGCGGCCGCTTCAAGGCCTCGCTGTTCCACAAGCTCGCTCATTAATCGCATCCAAAGACACGAGTGCCCCAAAAAACCCACCGGCCATCTGGCAGAGGGGGCCCCGCTGCCCCATTGGGCGCCTCGGCGGGTGCATCACCCGTGAACTAACTGAAAACCATATCACGATCCCAGAGCGCAAGAGGGCCCACCACGTAATAAACGAGCGAGCACCCTGGCTACGCCCGCCGGGTATGGCGAAGGGGCTATTGGCCCATCGAGTATAGGCAGATGAAGTGGGACGTGCATAAAAAGAGGACCGATAATGCTATTGGAAAGGCCCTGCCACACAGAGGTTCGGTGTGAGTGAGAAGGGAACACTATAAGTTGTAAGGGTATTTAGTTAGTGGTTCACTGACATATAGTGTCTCATTATTGAATAAGCTTGGACATCTTGTAACTGGTGTTTTGCAGTATGACTATTGTGTGTGCCTTCCGCAAGCTTGAGCAAGCTTGAGCGGAAGACCGACTGTTGATGACTCATGCCCGGAAATTCTGGTGCGACTAGTGTGGAGTCCACACTGTGGACGGGCGAAGCCACTCCCATTATCGGGGGCTCGCCAATGAACTTTTTTAACCAATCGGGGAAGGTAGGTGTGCGCAGTGGTGTATGTGCGTGTGTTTTAACCGAGACTAGGGCCAGTTCTGGCATTTGACCTCCCAGGAACTAGAATGGTGCATAGCCTAGCATGAATTACGCAGGTGCCTGGGCTAGATCCATTCTAGAGTGCATGTTGGCCCCCAGCAGGTGCTTTTATGAAAGGATATTAGGTTGGTAACATGCATGTTACCATATAGTGGGGAGGCTTGGGTCAATGTACTAGTTGTGGGACTAGAGTGCATGAGTAATATATTGTTCCATCTTGGTTATTAACTTATATTGATTGATGTACACTAGTTTTGGGTGTGTAGACCTACATGGTATATGCAAGGTTGGGTCATGTACTATACTGAAGTGGGGTATGGTGAAGTGGAATGGTCAGACCAGGGTTTGGTGTGACATGGTGTGTACGTCTGAATAAAGTCCAGCTTGTATTTAAGCGATAATGCCTAATTCAAAAGGCGTTGCTCTTTATAAGTCGAGGGTGGCAGATCCGCCTATGGGACTTCACTTACCACCACTTGTACGATTGTGTGTACAGTGGAAAGTGTATTGCTACCTATTTTTAGATATTGAATGCAACTAATTGTAGAGGAGTACTGCGAAGCTGTTGACGCTAACTAAGTGGTCGAGCATGCGGAGTACTACTGCTGCAACTGCGTTAACAATAACCGTCATCTGCTGTCAATGTGACAGTGCCCGTTTGAAGCCTTCCATCTGCATTTCATCTTTGAACATCATCCTCGTTTTTCCCCATTATCGAGAATGATGCAATAGTATCTATTTTACCAATTTCAAGAGACCCCATACACCAATCTTGGGCGCCAACTGACAGCGCAGATGCCGTTGGCCTCGATTCGGGAACATTCCTGTAATTAATGAAGGTGAGGCGCTTCTACAGCGCCACACACCCGCTGCCAACAAGCCCGGGTCACCCCTCGGAAAGAAGCACCTCAGAATGACCAGGCCAGGCCTTGGAATTCCCCCCTCCCGCCCAAACCTCCCAACCCTCCCAACCTCCCCTCTCAGGCCACCAGCAACTCGCGCTCAGCACAAAAACCCACACACTCGCCGGCGCCCCTCTCCCACTGAGAGCCTCCTCGGTGTTATCAGCCCTCTGGGCCCATGGCCTCCTCTGCGCCGATGCGCAAGCCCGGGTTCCTGCTGCGCCTTGACGACGGCGGCGTTGTGGGCCCCGCACACCGGTTGGGCTTCAGAGACGGGGATCCCAATCGCCCGGTGTACCTGCCAGTGGCGGAGGCGCACAAGCGGGGCCTGGTGGGCGGGCCGGAGCTGTCCAGGCTGGCCGGCCTCGTCAATAAGGGGAGGGCGCTGCTGAAGAGGCAGGCGGATGCGGCGGAACTGCCGGTGGGAAAGATTTGTCGCAAGACAAAATACCGAGGGATGATCCCACTTTTCCCCCATCTATAAGGAGATTATCGGCAGCCCCGAGACAAAACTGGGCGGATACAAAGGAGGGAACATCAAGTGTAAACGTGGCATGTCCAGTGACAATTGTTCCAGGGGGGTGGGTGGGGGCGGCTTGGGCCCTACTGTTGGGGGTTGTCTGCTGGTTTTCGCCGCTGGGGGATGTGTGCAACGGGGAGAGATCGGTGGCGAGGTGGGGATTGGGACGGAGTGGGAATGATGGGTGTGGCGTGTGGATTGACAGGTTGGGGGAGCCCAGCGCGGCAAGCGACCTCGGGTGGCGGGGCAAGGTAAGCGCCGCGCGTGCTGCGGATGATGGGGTCAGGGGGAATGCCGGTGCGGCGATGGGCAGAGGGGTGTATGGCTGTTTCCTGATGGCGTTGTGCTGCGGAAAAGAAAACGGGCGACGGAGCTGATTTGTTCGTGATTCGCTGCCCGGCGTGGGCGCGGGGGAATGTTAGCTGGAATGTCTGCTGTCAGCGAATCTTGTTGCGTCGGAGACTCCTGCAGCCAGCGTTTTCTTGTATGACTGTCGATTTATGTTCATCGATGTGGTGGCATCCTTTCTTGGGCTGCTTCTCTTCATGGATGGCCTCCCGGCGCCCTTTGGATACCTGTTGGCTCCTTGTACGGAGCAGCCCTTGGATTGAATCGATAGCTGCAACCATTGCATGCCCAACTGCCGATTTTGCCTGCCCTCGAATGCAGAACTCTTGGGCTGGAACCATGTTGGAACACTGAACATAGCACACACACTTGTGCACGAATTGCTTTGATTACAATTTTTTAAGAGCATGTTATGAACCACGGTCCTTGCGCTTTGCAGGATGCGACAATAGACACATTTGCATTCACTGAATTGTCAACTGTGCGACAGATCCACCATCAGATGAACAGGCACACCGCGGAAGTTTCGTCCAGGACTGCCTGGGCATAATTGAACAGATCGAGCAGGACCTGGGAAAGAATGCTTACATATTCAACAAGCCAGTGAACCGCATGGTTGTGCCAGACTACTATGACATCGTCAAGAATCCAATGGACCTTGGTACACTGAGAGAGAACCTACTGGGAGGAAAATACGCCCACCCAGAAGAATTTGCCAAGGTGCAGTCTTGAGTGACTGGGAGCTGTCACTAGCCTATTCTGGTCAGCCTGCATGTCCTGTGTTGGCATTGATTACCTGGTTTCCCAGTGCAAGTGGATAGGCCAAAACAGAATACACATCATTTTTATTGTGCTGCCACTCTGTGGAGCATCATTAGTAGAACGGCCATAGCTGCTGCCTTGTGTGTGTGGATGTTCTCTGGCAGACGCCTCTGCTGAATTGCTCTTAAATTTCATGTGTTCCGTGGACCAGTCGAGCACATCCACAGGACCAAAAAGGGATGTGGGGCAAATCAGCTATAGCATTGTGCTTGGTGCAAGTCTCTTTGTACATCATGAACTGCTGCTGAAAATCTTGACTGTTGGGAGTCTGCAGTGTGACAGTGCACTGCACCATATGCAGGCGGCTTGTGATCTTTGCCGTGCAGTTATCTGCGTGGTGGGAGCCAGCATTGTGACAAAACCTGAACAGCACTGCTTGGTCAGAGCTAGAGGGCAAATGTTGAACCGAGAATTGGCTTCATATTGCTGGCAACAGCGCGCCTGTATTATCATGTGTTGTTTCCAATTTTTGCCCTGCTGATAGTGTCCCGATGTATTTTGCAGGATATGCGGCTTGTGTGGAGCAACTGCAGCCTGTACAACAAGAAAGGCGACCTGGTTGAGAGGCTCGGCAACAGGGCCTCTTTGTCCTTTGAGAACAGGTGTGCTGTTCTAGGAAAACCAGCATGCTTGGAAGTATGCCCATCGTCCTCCTGATGCTGCAAGGCCAGTGCTTTGTCAAACGTTGGCAGATATAGTAAAGTGGGTTGTCATCGGCAGGTGGGCAATGTCAGGCTTTGCTGATGAGTCAAGGTCGAAGAGGCCAACCGTTGGTCTGCAGCCATCGAACCACAACCCAGGGCAGAGCACTTCTCAACCTGAAAATGTCCCTATAGCCAAGGAGAAGAAGGTCAACAAAGTCTCCAAGGTGCAGAGTATGCTGACAGTCAAGGCTGCAAGTGACACAGCTTTTATACCGATGCACATGGCGTTGCTGCTCTAGTACCATTTTGTTTTGGCTGAGGATTTGATAATAACAGGATGTACATACAACACATGTTCATTGTGTAGTGCATTGTGGTATGCTGTCGTGGAGGACACATTGGTATTGTGTGATCAAGTTTCATCGTGGGGATTTGCGTGAGCGCTATTTTGACAGTCAGTGTTGAATATCTGAAGGTTGCTGTGATGCGCATTACAACCACAAAGTGATGAACCTGTACTATCCTGCCTTCCAAACTAAACCTCTCAGTGTGCAACCCACTCAATAGTAAAGAGCTATGTAGTGCAGGTGGCACCATTAGACAGTAGCAACCAGCTTCCTAACACATGTTTGTTTGTATGAGTGCCCTTAGGGAGTACTCCATTTCTACATGGATCCCGTCTTGCTCATTCAGCTTCTCATTGTGCAGCCCACTCAATACCACAGCGCTGTGCAAGTTGCACTGCAAGACATGGACAGCTTCCTAAGACATTGTTGGATGTGTGAGTGCCTGTCTGGAGCACCCCGTTACTGCATGGATTGAAAGGAATGAACTGATAGTCCCAACAACCAGTGTGCTGGGCACAAGGACATGCCAGACATTGCTCTTTGACCACAGTCATTTGCAAACTTGATGCATGCCAGCCTCATACTAACCATCCAGGCTATTTGACATAACCAACAGCACCTACAGTCAGACGATATGCTGATGACCTTCAGAAGAAGGCACCACAGTGTTGTAGCTTGGTAACTTTCACAATGACATTCTTGAAGCTGTTCATGAAATGTGTTGGCTCAGTGGCGATCGTGCGCAGTGCTGCAAGCATGGCACATGTGTGTATACTTGGTACATCCTGAGCATGTGCACCACATGACAGCACTGTGATGTGGGACAGACTGCCAGCCACAAGCAGCCTGGGCCTGGTGGTCCATCGGCAAGTAGCAGCATGGATGTGGCGATGGCTGCACCACCTTCAAGGCGTCCCCCAGCAAAACCGGCAAGTCCAGTCTATCCTGATAGACCCATGTCAACAGACCAGATGCAGGATTTGGCTGAGGGCCTCAGATCCCTTGAAGTCGACGTTCTTGAAGGTTTGTGTCCCTTCAAAATATTGCTGCCATGCCAGAATCTCTGATCCAAGGAAGCGCCTTTTCCTTTTGGTTAGGTTGATTTAAAGCCTTCAGGTTCAGTTGTGTGGCCTGGTGTAGTGGTTTTCTCTTTTGGTGCGATATGATTTCTCATTCTTCTGTTTGATCCTTTGTAGACAGCTTTGGCAATGGCGGCCATGTTGGTACATCTGACAGCCACAGGAAAGAAGCTCATTCCTTTCGGTTGGTGGTGATCTGGAGCATGAACTCTATCATGGACTCGTGATCTCCTCTGTGAACATCTCCGACACATCTGTGCGGAAAACTTGATGTCGATTTGCAGGCTTGATTTTACTTACTGGAGAAGATGCTGACAAGGTGGCAGCATTTTTCAGAAAGCTGCAGTCTTGGTAGTGGTTATTGCTTCATTTTTGCATTACCTTTGAGGAGCATGCCTATGATATGGATACAGTTGCTGCTCTTAAGGGCGGTAACTAAGGATTGACGTTCAGAAGACATAGCAAACACATCCATTGTTCCTGTTAAGGGATAGTAGGCGGAGAGACATCCAATGACTGTTAAGTGAACGTTCTCTGATCGTAGTCCTGCAAGTGGCACTTGGGGCCATTTGTGTTGACCTGCTACCTTCGTGCAACCTGAAAGGAAATTGTGGGAAGGAACTGACGGGTGTCTATCCATTTTCGTCCTTGCAGATGTCATCAAGATCGTTCGGGAGAGCAGCCGTTTTGTGTACAAGGACTGTGAAGAGATCGAGCTGGACATCAGCGACCTGGACAATAAGACGTGCTGGAAACTGGCAGCGTTTTTGAAGGATCATGGTGTGCAAGGCACCAGTGCACAGGGGGAAGGACTGCAAGAAAAACAGGTGGGTCACGAGTGCTGGCTGTTTTGGTGAAGTTAATGAGACCTGCAGAGGTGTTGAAGTGCTTCTGGTGATTGCCTATCTGGCGTGTCTGGCGCTGTTGCATCTGGTTTCCTGTGACAGGCTCCTCAGCAGGTGTTCCAGTTGTTAGACAAGCGATCGGTGATCCTTTGTCGATCTTCCTGCTAGAAATGACTAATAAAGGGCATTGGCAATTGAATGCCAGATGAAACAAAGCTCATATGCTCCGTGGCTGCTCAAGCATGCCCTAGTTTCTCCCATGAATGCATTGACGATGAACAGTGTGATGGATCAGTGAGCACATTTTGATACCACATTTGCCAAGCACATTTTTGGCTACTATTCGCTGCTGTTATTTCATGGAGCAGCGATCATGATTATCCGCTGACCTAAGAAGCAGGTCGGTTCATGAGCCAGTCTGTGGCACCAGGCCAGTTCTTTCGCTTCTCTCCCTTTGCTCCCTGTGGGTGCGAGACATGGGTACCTGGGATCTCACGGCCTGTACTTGGCGCCCAGGCTCATCCATCCCCAACACAGATAGACAAAAGAGATGCCTGATGAGGATGGCAGCTCATTCCCTGGCATGTTGTTCACTTTCCCTCATGTGTGTTTCAAATTAAGTCCCCTAAAATGGGTCTTTGGGGTCAGCACCAGCGCCTGTTAGTCCACGACTGTGTGAGGCCGAAAAAGACAAAGCGAAGAGCTCCCAATGCAGTTGAGTGTGAACAATTCCAATGCAATGCCGCATGTGCATTCATCGCACAGGAAAGGAGCCTGTCTGATGACCTTTGGTGTGGTTGTCCTGCAGGTGGTCAGCACTGGCAGCCAATACTCGGACTCAGATGCTGAGTCGGGTTTCGATTGAGTGGCCAAGACACTGTGCCCCAGTTCGCAGTATCCAGGGTTGCATAGTTGATTTCAGCTTCCAGCTGTCGTAGATGGCAATGCGTGCCAGACGTGGTCCCAGCACGCCCTCTTTCTGGGTTCGGTCTCGATATGCATAGCATCAGCTGCCGCATAATTGATGTGCAGTCTCGCACAAATGCAGGACTCGGCTGCTTGGGTAGTTTCCGTGTCAACTTGGAGAGCGCAACAGTCCATCCAAGCACTTGATACATGTACTTGGAGTTGAAGGCGCTCCACAAGGTTGCCTGCGACAAGGGTCATGTTGCTTACAAGAAGCGAGAATCCAATCCACAGCTCATTTGCTACCTGTAGGTGTGAAGAGAAATGCGTCACCTGCAACCCCTCCGGGCTCGACCCCTGTACAGATGTTCTAGGGCTGCCCAATTAGAATTCTGTGCTTGCATCCAATCCAGCTCGTCAGTGGATTGCTGTTGTGCAAAATGGTCAAACGCATGTTGTATCACATATGCACATGCTTTCACAAGTTTTGCAGCATATTTCCATCGTCCATACAAACCCCTTTTGCAACTTTCAGGTGACCATTTCCCAACCCCTTGGCCACCTATCCCGGACATATGAACTGCCACACGGGGATCTGCTGACCTATGAGGTTCACAGAACAACTCTCACGGATCACGGATGTCATCCCATATTGCAATGCACTACTCAAAAACAATGCTATTAAATCGAGCCATGCCGCATATCGACCCATGGATCCTTCCGATTCAATTAAAAACCTGTCCCACTGTGGCACGACTGCCATGCTGCTAATGAGTGCAGCTACACTGCAGATGTTACAGCAAATATCTCCTTGATTTCTTATGATCAGATGATTGCCATCTCAGACGTTTCTGCACTCAACAGATCACGTCGCCATCCTGGCTGCCATGCGCCATGCAAGCATATCATACATAATAGTGGAAAAAAGATGACATATCATGCCCGTACATCCCACTAAATTAGTCTTGATGGTTCATGTTGAGTTGACATCTTTCTTCATAGCAGGTGTAACGATCAGACACACAATATACCGACGTTTCGACCCATTTCTGATCGATGGGCTGAGGCATCAGGTCCTTGGGCTGTAATTGACTTCCATGCATTGCCACAACTGTGTGCGCATTCGCCGGTCTAACACACGGCATTAACTACCATTGACAATGCTCGATTTCCTCTGGCGTCGATAACAATATCCTCAATGCTGCTCCCTATCTACCATAGCCCCACCAGGATGCATCATTCCACATGGCCAGCCTTATGCGATGATGTCCATTGCTCCAATCTTCCCAATAGCACTGCCAAGCAGGTCGTTTTGCAACGACTTGGATTGTGCACTCGCACCTTCATGTTCCAATCTTTGCTTGCCGCCCGAGCCAACAAGTCTGCATGTCAACCCTAATACATTGCGCGTTTTGTTAGTGCGCAAAGGGGCCCCCTATGACATCAGTATGTTGCATGTCACGCTGGTATGTCAGGCAACCACTCTGATATGCTATCCTGTGCATCTATCGGGTGTTGCTTGTGACACCATATAATGACCACCATTTCACTGAGTGGATCATTTATTGTGGCGAGGCCAGCCAGCTGCCGCCGGCCCCATTTTATCTCGACGCTATTTTGGGAGTCACTGCGCCCGATGGCTAGAATGGCCCTCCCAGATCTTTTGGATCCGGGGCTTATCCAGGGCAATCGTTTCCTCTTTATGCGGTCGGCCTGAGTGCACCTCTCTGGCGAGCTTGCTATGCGGGGTTGTGGGTAGCAAACGGGGCAACCTGGCCTTGCCATGCAGTGCATGCAAAATGTGGCTGCAAAGGCTAGAGGTGTGGTCAGTGAGCCCGAATGGAAGATTACAGTGAAGGTGATATGCAGCCACATTTGAGCATAGGTACTAGAAGTCGGCGCTAGGCTTACAATGCCGTCAGGTGCCGTTAACCTTGTTTTGGGATTTTCCTTTGCCACTGAGCGCCGTTATTTTTAATGATTTGGCAAAATTACTAATTTTTTGTGGCACCAACTTTGACCTGGCATTGTACAGTGCCACCTGGTTGAATTTCTTGCCGTTGTTTGCCGTCCAAGCTGTTGTGGTTGCTGTCTCTTGTCGTTTGACTTTAGCATCATGCCGTATCATACCAATAAAGCTTCATTTTCCTCCCAATACCATTGGAAATTTACCAAGGTAAGTAGTGTTGTCCATATCTTTGTGTCTTACCAGATATATTTTAGGGTAGAGGATGCACTTGCTTTGAGTGTAGCGGCTCCATTGTAGCTCGACGTGTGGGGTTACCCAAGCATAGCATTGTTGCCTCAAAGCCAAGGCCACACAGCCTAGCCGATCGCACAATGCATAAGGGAGAACACATGCCGGCACACTGCGTCTTACTGGATATATTTTAAGGTGGAAGATGCACTTGCTTTGAGTGTAGTGGCTCCACTGTAGCCCGACATGTGGGGTTACCCATGCATAGCATTGTCGGCTCAAAGCCAAGGCCGCACAGCCTAGCCGATCGCACAATCCACAAGGGAGAACACACATAGCGGCACATAGTGGCTTACTGGATATATTTTAAGGTAGAAGATGCACTTGCTTTGAGTGTAGCGGCTCCACTGTAGCCCGATGTGTGGGGTTACACAAGCATGGCATTGTCGCCTCAAAGCCAAGGCCGCACAGCCTAGCCGATCACACAATGCACAAGGGAAAACACACGCCAGCACATTGCGGCTTACTAGATATATTTTAAAGCAGAAGATGCACTTGCTTTGAGTGTAGCAGCTCCACTGTAGCCCGACGTGTGAGGTTACCCAAGCATAGTATTGTCGCCTCAAAGCCAAGGCCGCGCAACCTAATCAATCGCACAATGCACAAGGGGGAACACACGCCACATAAAGGTGCAATCAACACATTGAAAAGATCAAACGCCTATTATACAAAAAACAAGTCAAAGGCACGCAATATATTAAAAGGGAAAATAAAAATGCGTCAAATCTGGTCAAAAGGTGCCCTTCAATAGTGGACAAGCCTACAATGTAGGCCCCTCACGACCGCTCATCATCATAGGCAACGTCTAAAAAGAATAGAGCAACATAATATAACGCATGAAGGTGCAATCACATGAAACAAAATACAAACAAAACAAAATACCAAACAAATACCAACAAGTGAACAACTTGGAAATAATGCACAATAAATAAGAGATTTAAAAAAGTTGAGTACGTGTATCCAACTACTCGTAGTGTTGTACCTGTCGCCTCAAAGCTTGGAGTGGGTTAGAGTACCCACAACGGTCAATCACACAGGAACACAAGAAAAATAGTCCTACCTATCAAACCCCCGATCTCCATAATCTCTTCCATGGTCAAGGCCTAACTAACTTTCGTGCAAAATGTCGGTAAGGGGGTCACGGAAAACATATCAGCATTCAAAGGTAGCAAATGCAGCAACAACGAAAACAAAAGTAAACATGGACGAGTGCTTCCCGCCTAGAGGTGGCCCCCTCTGTCCGTCCACAACAGAATTTGGTTGGTTCTGTTAAAATTCCGTACAATCAACAGAATCCGTGAGCGGGCCAACAGAGAGAAAAAGTGTCTGACAGAAATGGGCGGGGCCATGCTGACATCAGCATAGACGGCTACAAAAATCCACACAACCTTCCAGAATGGAACCACGTGTTATAGAATCTACGCCGCAGCCCACGGATGATAGGCCCCCCATAACAAAACCGCTGACCGGACCACAAAGGTCGACAGAATTCCATCAATGTTCACGGAGCAACACAGACCTTTCAAACACGTTGAACCCCCGTACAGAAATTCCATATGCATGGTGGACGTGGGGTGCGATTGTCTAGGTCTTTGATAGATTCAGCAGTGCACACTGCTCAACCCCGTGGCACATCCATGTGCCCCTTCAAATCGTTGTTGTCCATCACGTAGGCAGAATGTACGCCCAAAGCATTCCCAAGCCTAGTACATTCGATTGGATGGTATGTGATGTGATGCACCTGGGGTATGTGAAATGTTGCATCGGGGCTGCCCGCCACCAATTGCCCCCATGGCGTTGGTACCCTCAGGTGAGTGGTGATGGCGGGGTGGGGCAGGGGGTTGCTGTTCTGCTTGGCTGGAGTACCGGCCGTGGCTTGGCCGGGAAAAAGCCAGTGTTGCTAGGCTCGTGGTGTGCATGGGCGGTTGTTGCTTCTCCAAGATCATATCAGGGTGGGGCCGGGGAATTGCTGTTTTGCTCTGCTGAAGTACCGGCCATGGCCTGGCTAGGAAAAAGCCGTTGTTGCCTGGTTCGCAGTGTGCATGGGTGGCTACTGCTTGTCCGAGATCTTGTCAGGGCGGGGCAGGGGTGGGATTGCTATTTTGCTTGGCTGGAGTACCGGCCGTGGCCTGGCTAGGAAAAAGCCGATATTTCCGGGTTTGCATTGTGCATGGGTGGCTGCTGCTTGTCCGAGATTGTGTCAGAGCGGGGCGGGGAGGGGGATTGCTGTTCTGCTCGGCTGGAATACCAACCGTGGCCTGGCTGGGAACCAGCCGCTGTTGCCAGCCTGGCTGCAGAGGGTCGTTGGTGGGATGGTACATGCAGTGCCAAGGGTGGGAAGACCGCCGCGCAAGGAAAGAAAAGCATAGAGGGAGCATGGGAGCATGCACCAGGATATCGAGGCATCCAACTAGGCGCAGGAAGCTAGCATCCAAGACATCATCAAAGACCACATCAAAATACAAGGCATCACATGACATACCATGACAAATTTTGTTATAGTTGCTGCGAGTGAATGTGTCCATTTGGCAAAGGATTACTAGCCATTCATTACCGTAGCGGGCGATCATCTTAGGACTATGGGTGTTGGCATGTGTTCATGTGTGCTCTAGCGCATGGTGGGTTGTGCCTCCAGTCTAGCAAGGAGTACCAGCCGTGGGTTGGCCAGGAAAAAGCAGCGGAGGGTTATCGTGGTGCCTAGG